ATGATGGCCCTGTTTGATTGTTCACTAATACCGATATGACAGCCTTTCGATCTTGACTGCATCAGGGGCGGAAATACGAAGTTATCTGATTGCATCACATTGTCTTTGAAGCTACTTCTCTGAGGCAATTGCCAAGGCAACTAGAATTACATGTTTGGGTCTTTTAGATAGTATCGATGTTTGCAAAAGGCTTAAATTGGCAGATCCGCCATAATAACGGCAGAGACGAGGCTTTTTCACGAGATCCGTCGTAAACATCACTGTAGCCAGAAATTTCAAGTTATATCTCGATGAACTTTCAGTCATCTCAACTACCAAGGCTGCACAGGCGTGCCGTAAACCGCCATGTTCACCACCTTTCCAACATCGGCATCTCTCTTTCCTTCAACAACATCAACAAGTGCCTTGCCACCAGCGGAAGGGTCTCCGGCACCCATCTTCTTCATAGACTCCGGGTCACCCTCGCCAATGTCAGTGGCGAAGAAGCCAGGAGCAACGCACCAGACCTTGACACCGTCGTTCTTCAACATGCGCACCCATTCGAGCATGACCATATTAAGGCCGACTTTAGCCGCTCTGTATGAAATGGTGCCCACAGGCTTGGGAATTCCGGCTGGCGGAACCCTGTAGGTGAAGTGAGAAGAGTCGGCCGCATTTTCCAGCGAGGACACACCGCTGGTATTGAAGATGAGACGAGGGTCAGGAGACTTGAGCAATAGCGGTAGGAACGTGTCTGCGATGATGTGAGGGCCAGTGACGTTAATGTCCCAGGACTTATTGTAGGCCTCGCGGACCGTCATGTTGCCGCGTTCAATCTGTTGATCCAGCATGACGCCTGAATAAGATAATAGAGTTAGTCTAAGGCCTCCGGAGACTAAACCCTAAAGTACAGCAGGAGTGGCATACCGGCATTGTTGACAAGTGCATCAATCCTGTCAACCTTGCTGGCGACAGTCTCGTACGCCTCTCTGATGGAGTCGTCGCTTTCAACATCGAGCTGAAGTGGCTCCACAGTGCTGTTAGACTTGACCTCAGCCGCAGCAGTCTCAGCAGCGGCCTTTCCCTTGGCAAAGTCGCGGCTGCCTAAGAAGACGTGGTACTTTTGCTTGGACCCAAGCAATGTCTTGACTGCTTGGTATCCAAGGCCCTTGTTGGCTCCAGTGATGAGAACAATCTTGCGGTCAGCCATCGTGAAGAGAGTTGTAAATATGAGATATGAGATGTTGCGTATTCTAAAGCGGAGAGAAAGTGGTGGTGCTGCAGTGAACGATAGACGATTGTCTGGTCTATGTGTTAACTGAAGAATTGGGTGGTGAACAGACGAAGTAAAAGTCAAGGAATATTGGCATTTATATCATATCCAAGTAGAAAGCAAACGAGATGCATCAAACTGTCTTGTCAATATCTCCCTGATCCAAATGTCGAGCCGGCGATCGCACAATTTGCACTCTGAACTATAACTCGGAGCCTACGCGGAATCGAGGCTTTTGCCGTCGACAAAGTTGAGATTATCGGCAGGTAAACGATTTAGCAGCCCAGAGCTCTTTGGGCGATGTTTCCCGCCCGCGGTAACCGGGCCGGGGAACTGTGAACTTTCGCAGTGCCCGACTCAGCGCTAGGGCCCATAGTAGCCACGCTGCCAAAGGATGCATATGTGGACTGGAGCCGAGCTTGGAGCTTGGGACAGAACGCGAGAAAGGAGAGCTCCGGATTTGAAGAGCACTGCAGACATCTAAAAGGTGATGTCCCCCTTCCGCAAGGCCTGCGTTGTGGGAGCCGCCGTCTGGATCCCTGGAATCTCATTCAGACAACTAAACCTCAAAAACAGACAGCATGGGCTCTCTCGAACAACCAAAGCGCAACTTTGCTTATAGCATCTACGTGTATAAGAAAGCAGGTCAAGATGAGCAGAGCCATCACAACCATATTGAGAGCGTAAATACTCCGATCATCAAACCACTTCTTGAGAAATATGGAGCTGTATCCTATACTGTGGCATGTTGAACGTCCTGCGTTCGTCGAACAGATTGTCTAACACGTCAATAGACCCACAACGATGCTTCCGCCAAAGCAGATTTCAAGAAGCTGTTCCCTGACGCGCCTAGTGCCATGTTACTGGATTACGATTCGGTCATCTCAATAATCGTACCCAATATTGGGTGCATAGAGAAAATGCGTGACGATCCTGACTTTTTGGGCAAGTTCATCCCTGACCATTTTAATTTCGCTGATATGAGCCGGAGTCGGTAAGTTGAAAATCATCCGTGGCTGCAAATTGACTTAGCTCCCTCAATTGCTGATGCTCAACTTAGCTGTGTTGTGGGATGGGCAGAGCACTATACGTTCTAGCATGTTGGCCGAAGAGTAACTGGAATAGACCCATTACTTTGTTGTCTAAAGTTGTCCAAATTACCATGAATATCTTATTTCTTTGATCGAAACACTTATTTCTTCGTGCATGTATCAAGGTTCATGTTTTCATTATTTGCTCTTCTAGATGCGATACGTATGCGTAAGAAGCCATGTCGAAGCATCGTAAGGCAGACCCTAACGGCTACTGTAACTTGAAGTCATTGACGCTCCTCAGCAATGTTTTCAAGTCAAGCTTCCCTGAACAAATGAAGATGTGTCCCGAAATTCCAACTGAGAGGAATATCAATGGACAGCTGATATGTCGTATGGCCATTTCCTCACCACCTTCGAAGGATTCCCAATAGCTGTATGCCAACCTACAAGAGTTGAGCGTGGAGCCTACACGTAGCGATAGGTCCCACACTATCTGTGGCTCCAGACAGGTCCAATGAAGTTTCTTACTTTTCTTACTGCTGTCTGCCGTACTATGGCCTCGGAACAAACAACTTGAGAACCTTCGGCCAGGGTCATTAGACGGTCCAGTGAGCTCCTTTTACATCGCGATCTTCGTCTCATCCTCAAGATACCCGGATCTGGGCCAGCCATGTATGTGCAAGATTATGATTTCGTAGGGGTCACCTGTCTGTATCCACCGGCAACACCTTTCATCGAAACTGAGACCCGTGCACAGCGACCGGGAACTCAATCACCGCAAAAACCAGGGAACATAGCCCGGCACTTGTTGCATCGGTGACAAGAACGCCGTGATCGATATGAAGCTCGGAAGGCCTGCTGCTACGGCCGAAGCGCACCGAATTATAGGATATTAAAGGTCAACTTGTGCAAGTGTTTGTCGGACGTTTACACCACTTCAACAGTCAAGCTCATAAGTCTGCACCAATAATAATTTGCCCATCATGCCTACTCTTGAACTGAACTACGCCACAAAGGACGAGCTGGCCTTCCTCGACACCGAGGTCAAGAGGAAGCTCAAAGTCTCCGGAGACAAGATCGAGTACACCGCTACCGAGCTCGCGGAGAAGGACAGCGAGGAGCGCGCAAAGCTCGCTGGCGTGTACAACTTAAACAAGGAGTCTTACGATGCCACCCTCAACTATCGTCTCTGCCCCACCAAGGGCGGCGACGAAATGATCTGGGGCGGTACCTTTGCCCAGATGCGCCGCAAATACGACCCGCGGCCGGTCAAGATCTACAACGCTCGTGGCAAGGAGTCCGAGTTCAGCCTGGACAAGACCGGATTCCAATTCGAGCATTTCCCTACTTCGTACAAAGACTTCCCGTGGAGTCCGATCGATGAAAAGCTCAATAAAATTTATAATGCCGAATGTGAGGAGTTCATGAGAAAGCTGTAAGTGTCTCCTAGAAAAAGACGACTCGCAACTTTTTACTGACCTACCTAACCATCAGGACCGGAGCGAGTGATGTCCGTGTTATCTCCCACATCATCCGCCAGCGTCAGTGGGAGAGCACAGACCCAGAAGAGGATAAGGACAAGCCAGACATGGCCATGACAGACGGAGGTCTGCTCTCCGCCCGCTTCGTCCACATCGACCAGTCTGACCTAGGCGCCAAGCGCCGCCTTTATGATGACCTTCCTCCCGGAGAAGGCGCCAAGCACGACGGAAAGCACCGTTGGGCCATTGTCAACCTTTGGAGACCCATGGACGAGGTCCACCGCGAGCCTTTGGCCCTGTGTGATGCCAGATCTGTTCGAGACGACGAGCTCCACGATACCATGCACTGCGTTCCCTTCCGGTGGCCTCACAAGCCTACTGAGAACCATATGTGGCAGGTTGCGCCGCCCGAAACGCCTGACCAGCATAAGTGGTGGTTCCGCGGCGGTATGACGAGGGACGATGTTATTCTCATTAAGATCTTTGATTCTAAGAAGGATGGACGTGCTAGGCGCACTCCTCACAGTGCTTTCCCTACGCCTGATGATATCGGTCCTGCGAGACGGAGCATCGAGACTCGATTCTTCCTCTTCTGGGAGGACCAGAGCTGCGAGTAGAAGGATGTAGGGCAGGATAGCTACTGCACACGGACTAAAGTAGATTGTAGCATATGATTGAGTTTAGCTAGGCGAATGAAGTCTCCTTCCTGAGCTTTGCTGATTGCCTCTCGTCGATAAATTTCATCTTGTTATCATGTAGCTATTGATTCACTACAAACTTAGCATCAATTAAAAGGGACTGTCAAATTTCTTTTGGTGCCCTTTTAGGTCAGAAAACTATTTAGCCCAACAGTTGTTGCACTTAATCATCGAGATCTCAAAAAGCTTCGAGGCAAGCCATGACCGGTAAGAGTTGAGGCACCTAAAAGATGGAATTCGAACGAATGACCTAAGTGATACACGTACAAATATAATCTGCAGTATGCCTTAGGAAATTATGAGTTCGGGACTTCTAACATAAGATTGAGAACTAGTTGATATCCGTATGCTGTTCTAATCCTCATTTCCAATCTAATTATCCTCAAATCACCTTAAGTCAGCCTCAACTTACAACCATCCCACATGCGGCGCATTTGCAAGAGCTGCCTTATCTATCAACTACTGTTGTCTCCTCCGACATAAAGTTCAACACATACTCCATTCAGTGCCCGCTCTGATACACAGGCCTGGAATCTCATCGTCCGTATGAGGGCGACCACTTGCTGCGAGCTCGAATCTTGTCCCCATAGTGATAGAAAAGGAATGGGATAGGAGCTAAGACTACACCAAACAAAGCCAGCAGTGAAGTCGCACGGGCGACGCCAATCGAAGTGTACATGGATGTACTTGATGCAGTCAGTAAACACGGCGGTAAAACGCTTAGGCGAATTCCGAGAAGACTCACGCAAATACTGGAAATCCTGACGCAAAAAGGGATCGCATGAAGGTGTTGGCCGCGATCGCCGAGTTGGAGTTAATTCCATAGCAGTCCACGATGTAGTTCATTCCCTGCATGTTTATCAAGATGATGCCAATACCGATAGGTACGCCCGCAACAATCTGCGGCCAGGGGTCCGTCGATGGCGAACTCGTCGCCGCGAACCAGAACATACCGACGGGCAGACAGACTGTCCCGATCATCATCAGCAACAGCCTGTTTTCCTGTGGGCGGCCAGCCTTAGGATCCGGCGACAACTTGGTGTTGACTGTCGCGATGATGAGCGCGCCGCCGAGGATCGTGCCCAACAAGATGGCAAGGAGCGGGAGGCCGGCAGACGTGGAGTCCCAATGGCGCTCGCGTTCAAAAGACATTGGGTAGGCGAGGAAAAAGATGTACATGAGTCCTGTGATGTCGTTAGTCAATATTTTGTTGCAAACGTGTTTAAGATCGTAGCATACCGAAAACGACGGAGATGTAAGTGGACATCAACAAGAGGATGGGCTCCAAAAAGAGCATCTTGGCCGGACGCGAGAGGCACTTCTCGACAATGTCATTGAGATTGCTCTCCTGCTCTTCAGACTTTGCTCGCAGAGCCCAGTTGCGCGTCATATGACGCATTCGCTTTGCTCGTCTTTCTAAGAGGATCGGGGAATACGTCTCGGTCAAAGCTGGATATGTGACCACGGCGACGGTAAGGGCAAAGATGGCCGTGATGTTGAAGATCCACCGCCATCCCAGTAGCGGGCTCTTGACAATGACTGAGCCGATCATGGGACCGAGGACGGGCCCGATCATGAGAAAGGTTCCCGTGCAGGGCATGGCGAAACCCCGCTGCTTCGGGGTCCAGATATCGGCGAGTGTGCCGCTCAGAATGGCGGACGGCGCGGCGCCGAAGACACCCTGAAGGAAGCGGAATACGAAGATTGTGTACAGACTTTGTGCACTGGCCGCCGGGAGTTGGAGTAGGGCGAAGGTCACGTAGCCGACCATCAAGGGGCGCTTTCGCCCATAGCGTTCTGAAAGAGGCCTGTAACGTAGGGTGGAAGTCGTTAGCTCAGGCACTTTCACAGCTCATTGGCGAGGGATGCAGGGGTAAGGCTCTCATACCCGAAGATGATGGGGCCAACAGCAAACCCAAGCATGAAGAGCGAAGTGCCGCCAAAAACCATGTTCTGCACCGTGGTATTATACTCAGCGGCAGTTACGCCAGCAGCTGCGCTGAACACGGACGACGAAAAGGTCGTCGATAGCACATACAGCGCCAGCACCAGCGTGATGAGCCATTTGCGGGGTGTGGGCAGGTTCTGGGGGCAGCCCTTGTCATCTGGGCTGAGCCAGTCGACGATGAAGTCACCGCCTTGAATCTTGGCGATGACTTGCTCGTCGAGGGACAGTGGCTCATCTGCGTAGGTGACTTCTGCTGGACTTTCGTCTGCTGGCGGCGCCATGGTGGATGTGAACCTTGCACTGAGCTGATTGTCACAGAGGTTTAAGATATATACAAAAGGAAAGAATGGAAAGATTGACTTTGAAAAGAGAATGGTGAACGGGAATAGAGTAAGTTACAATTTGTCCAAAGATCGTAGATATAGAAATGCGGACTTCACTTTAGCAAATGAGTGAGAACACCCAACTGAATCACTGAGAATGTTCTTGGAGGTCTTGGGGGGATTTGACAGTAATCTCGTTCCGCAGGCGAAGGGCCAAATGCCGCTTTGCTTTATTACAGGGGCAGACTTCACGAGGACACGGTGACCATGGCTCAGGTCGTATAGGAACAGCCCGACCGCTGAAGCCCGTCTGCCGTGTTACACCTTGAACACCAGTTGCCGTGGAAGCCGGATCACGCAATTAAGAGGTTCAAATGCGCATCATTTTCCTTCCTAGGGGCTGGTCACTAAAGCCGTTGCACACATAGCTCGGGGTTTGCTCTGCTTCATACCTGAATGCTTCCCGATTGTTCCGGGAACGTGTAATTAACTAGGTTGAACTGACGCGCTGATTTTACCGTATCATTGGGATAAGGCCTGGGATCTGCTCCTTGTACCGTTTCGACGTTTTTCCGAGCGAAACGTAGCCATTGAAAAGCATGGAGGGACCACCTATCAACAATTGTATTTTGCTTAGCCTGAATTCTGCTAAAGGGCTAGTTGTGTTAGGTGCGGCAATCGATCCCCGAAACCCAGTCGCCGCCATAGGGCCGTCCTTCGGCAAAGTCAATCAGTAACTTGAGGGCCTCTGATACCTTGTGGCTCAGCCAAGCCGGTTGGAATCGATTACGACATGAGTATCCCTGCGGATCATGGCTTTTCAAAGCCTACAGAACTCTGAGAACATGTAATCAGATCAGCACTTAAGCACGTTAGGTGGCTTGATCAACTATGCGCTGTGGTGCGAACTTCTCAATGTTAGGTGTGGGAGTCAAGCAACAGCAGTTGAGGGGTCCATTAAACAGGCGTTCAGTGGTACTTATTACATGGTCACCACAACACCATTGACGGAAATCGCGATAATTGTCCAAATAATAGAATTGTATTCCGTGCAATTAAGCGTACACGTCTTGATATTTCTCACTGGTGATGCTTCGCAGGTGTGCCTCCCAGCTTGCTGTTGTCCACGCCGAGGAAACCAACCGTCTCTTGCTTCTTCGATTCCTTACCGTGAGGAATGCAAGAACGGTCAGTGAGAAGGTACCTGTGGCCACGACAAATGTCTTCCCCATGACCTTCCACGAAGACCGATACAAAGCCGTGTAGGCCCGAAGCTCATTGAGCAGCGATTGGCAGGCTGAATCTACAAAACGAAGTTAACACACAAGGCTCTAATAACTTGGACTTAACATCGAACTTACCTCTGTGCCCCGAGGGAACCAAGACCCCATCGAGGATGTGGGCGACGCCACCGAAAATGAGCACATCCTCCTTGAGGATCTTTGCTTCATTGACGAAGATGTTACCACGAGAGTCACGACTGACGGTGACTTTCATCCCGCTCAAAGTCTTGTACTCGTTCCCTTCAGCAGAGAAGGCGCTATGATAAAGAACCCGGTTGGGAATGGCATGATTTGCGACTATCGTTGCCAGTTGCTCCGGTGTAAGAGATCCCAACGCGGAGCTCCACTGTCGTACTGCCTTGTCATCCGGCAGAAAGACAGTCACGTCCTTCATGGCCTCCAGAATCTCTCGGGTTTTTGATCTTTCAACTAGGTCCCAGAACTTATGCAGGTTGCCCAGGTTGGTGGTTTCTGAGAGGTTATGCGGCAAAACAAGGTTGCTATCGATGGTGTGTAGGACTCCATTGTCGTAGGTAATGTCCGACTCATTGATTGGCATGACCTTTTGGATGCCAGATTCTGCGGATAATGAGCCGTCGATGATGGAGAGCTTCACCGCCGGGCCATCTGTGACGTTTGTCAAAATTGGTGGGCGCAAGACAGAGTGAGCGAGCTGGGCGTCCGTCTTCAACGAAGGATCTGACGACGTGAAGACTCCCTCTAGAAAGTGGTACTCAAGAATGGCACTGGCTAGTGCTGGGTCGATAGTGCTCATGTTTAAACCCCAGTTGGCGAGACCAACGAGCGCGTCATCCGTCATTGCCAGGAACGTCGACCTCTCAGCGGTTTGGAACCTATCCAGTAAATCTAGGTCCTTCAGGAGATCGTGAAGCATCGATAGCGACCCATGGCTGATCAGAGCTTGGCTTAGGGATTTGGCGGATGCACTGCCCAGCAGCACCGCTGCAAGAGCTATAAGTGAGAGCCGCATTTCCTGCAGCAAGAAGACGGAAATGAAGTCAGAATAAGATAACTGACTGAAGTTGACAAGCGGAGCGCTACTGAAGGGAAACGTGTACAGACGATTGATGAACTATTGTCTGAAATGTAATGGCTGTGGGCAGGCTCGGGGTTATGATACTCGACTCAGCACCGACCGGTCTTCAATTCCCGCTGGGCCATCTTCGCTACAAGTGTTCGGCAAGTTCCAGCGAGTCTAACGCATGTGCTTTCCCTGTGAGATGGCATCGACCAAGCTTCATGCCCTCCCGCGCCCAAGCCTCCAACTTACACCAGCTCCCACCTGCTTCATGGTCTGGCCTATCCTATTCTAACCAGAGGCACTTACACACTCGTCATATTTCTCTGTTCCAATAGGTCCACCAAGTTTTGAAATATCAGTATCACAATGCACCCTGTTCATCTTCTTTCTTACCTTCTGCCTTGGCCGTTATCCAGCTGGTCATCGGCAACATCGCTGGACGCTGGGACGTCCAACGTCCAGCAGTCAGTACAGCGCACCGTGCGCTTCGAGCTCCATCTTACAGCAGGCCAAGTGGACGCTCTCGGTGCTGGTCCACGAGCTGCCATTCTCGTAAATAACAGCTTCACTGGCCCTACTCTGCATCTCAAGCAAGGGGATGAGGTCGAGGTCATAGTCCGCAACTATCTGCAGGAAGACTCAACCATACACTTTCACGGCATCGACCAACGCAAGACACCTTGGAGCGATGGAGTACCGGGCCTCACTCAGAGTCAAATCCATCCCGGTGCCTCGTACCGCTATCAGTGGACCGCAGAGCAGCCGGGAACGTTCTTCTATCACGCTCACTCGAAAGGACAGCTGATGGATGGCCTCTACGGCGCGGTCATTGTCGACGCACTACCGGAAGTTGACAGGCCTTTCCACCTCATCGATGGGAGCCTGGAGGCTCAACAGGCAATGCGAAGAGCTGAGCAGAACATGCAGCCGCTGCTACTCGCCGACTGGAGTCAGTACAAGTTTGATGACTTTTACCATATCGAGGAGATTGCCAACTTCGATCTCGCCTGCACGGATGCAATCATTGTCAACGGCATTGGGTCACAGTACTGTCTTGACCCGGAATCCTTAGACAGCATGACGAACCCTATTATTCTTAAGATGCTGCAGGATCTCGGCGAGGACCATATGACTGCGAAGGGTTGCGTGCCTCCGATCCAGGCACTTCAAGGTGACTATGATGTGCACCTAGGCAAGCTGCCCGCCGAGTCAATCCGAAAATGCGTAGGCGGCAGAAATCCCAAGGGAAACTTCACCGTCAATGTCGACAGCAAGGAAGGCTGGGCGGCCCTCACGTTTATGAATGTTGGCGGGCTATATCCTCTGCAAGTCTCTATCGATAATCACGATCTACATGTATATGCTGTCGATGGACAATACATCAAGCCTGTTGTCACAGACCGTGTTTACATTGGCAATGGCAATCGGATTTCGGTCCTCGTGGAACTAGACCAGAAGCCAGCCCGATACATGATAAGGATGGCCAACGACCTTCTCAACCAGATTCTTGGGGGCTTTGCCGAGTTGGCGTACGACGGAGCGACACAGCAGCCAAGAAATACTCAGCCCAAGATGAACTATGCAGGACAGCCTCTGCTCAAAAATATCCGCTCTTTCAAACCCGAAGAGGGTCGTCCATTTCCATCCCAACAGCCCGCTCGCAGACCGGATCGCACATTCAAGCTGTATCTGAGGAAGCCAGGCCGCCCTTACGGAGCATACGAATGGAGTCTATCAGGCCAAGAAGTATACAATATGACAGCCGAGGAACGAGACCCGCCATTCCTTTTCAGACAACCCGACGAGGTGCCACAGAGCGAGCTCATCCTCCGCACCCAGGTCGGGGAGTGGATTGACATCATCTTAGAGACCGAAGGCCCCTTTGCGCAGAGCCACCCGGTTCACAAGCACGGCAACAAGGTCTACTTCCTCGGCTCCGGGGTCGGCAAGTTTCCCTGGGCCACCGTTGAGGAAGCGGAGCGAGCTCTTCCGCCCGGGGTATTCAACTTTGAGGATCCGTCGTACCAGGATACCTTCACGACGCCTGATATCGCCGGAGATGCACCTGCTGTGTGGACTGTCGTGAGGTACAAGGTGGAGAGCCCTGGCGCTTGGCTTTTGCATTGCCATGTGCAGACTCACCACGCTGGCGGGATGGGTGTTGTCATGCTGGACGGGATTGACGAGTTCCCTCAAGTTCCGACGACTTATCTGGAGTGGAATGGCTTCCAGCCGCCATCTTTGGACTTGAGGTAGCATTGAACATAGATTTCAACATCTTTTGCAAGCTTGTTTCGTTACTTGAGTCGTTTGAGCTGCTACATGTAGCTATCGAGATTGTAATCCTTCAATACCTGCTTTTCCCTTTTGCTCGATTTACCTACGCGAACGGGACGAATGACTACCTTAATTGTTGTTGACCCCACGCGTTGTAAGTTGACCACCATTACTCGTGCCCCCAATTCGTTGTCTGGAAAGCCTGAAATTGGAAATCGGCACTTGGAGCCGATTATATAGCTTGAGTCCCCTTAATAAAACAAATTGTGTTAAATTATGTTTGTCACAATGGAAAATGCGCTTTTTGTTATAAGAATTTTCCAATTACCTTATCAATGGATTTTTCAATTTGCTATCTGAGTGCTGTGCAACAAGAATCTAACATTGGCCATCCTAAGCCGCATTTCTAGGCTTCGGGGCCGAGTTCCAGGGCAGTCCGCCGTCGATAGGCTCATTCCGGACTCTTGTCGCAATCAGTTCCTCAAACTCCTCCTTCGGCATGACGGGCAACTCGAGAAATCTGTTCCCCTTGCCATCCCAAGCCGTACTATACTTTCCGCCAAAAATGGTGTTATGAATGACCAGAAACGTAGCAAAGATGGGCGGCGTAGTCCCTTCCGCCTCCGCCCTTCTGAACATAGCAAGCCCATCCTTGAGCTTCTCCTCCCCATCAACATGCTGAACAGGCCACGTTTTGCCAGAAAGCCTCTCGGCGATATCGAGCATTTCCTTTTGTGACGTAGTATAGTCCTGGATGAAGATGGCGCCGCTCTCCATGTCACCAGACTTGGCAAAGATGTTCGAGACGGCTTTGGCGAGGGTAGGTCGTCGCGTCACACTAACACGGTGCGTCACGTCGCTGACCTGCAGCGCGGTCTGCTCTTGGTAGTTGTACATGTAATTCCCGTTCAGCACGCACCCAAGAAGAGGACCCGTGGCGATGATCGTCCACTTCATCCCACTCTCGTCTGCCCTTTTCTTCAGGTGTTTCTGGATCGCCACTGCGTCCTTGTAGTAAGGGAACTCGGCAACTGCGGGGTTCGTCGACAGGGAAGTGAAATCGCTGGGGATAAAATGCTTCACCGACCCAGCCTCGACGGCGGCGTCGATTAGTTTGTACTGGTGCGGCCATCCCGCGGGGCTGATGGCGGAGATGACGGCGTCCTGGCCGCGGAGGGCGTCGGTGACGCTTTCTGTGGAGGTGTAGTCGACGACGCGGACGTTCGGCGCGTTTTCCGGGTTAGATCGTGATAGAACAGTAACATCATACCCGGCGTTGACCAGTTCATCGTAAATCTTTTCGCCTACGTAGCCTTTCTGTCATTCTTGTTAGTTGCTTTCGCGGGCAGATGCTTTAGCTGAAAGGTCGATTACTCACGCCTGCGAGTGCGACCTTGCGGATGGGCGTATCAGTGGTACGGCCTGGCATCTTTGGAGTTTCGATAGTTACAAATCGCTTCTGCTAGGCTCTTGTCTTTTGAAACTTGCAGCTTCAACAATTATCAATTACATTAATGCTGTCTCCTCGCGCTTTATGGAGGCAAAAGGTGGTATAATCAAGCAGCTTGGGCCCGTCCCGGGAAACGGAGACGCAGCCGGGAACAGGACGGTCGGTCGCCGTACGTGCATTTCCCGTTGTCCCGAAAAGGCAATTTCAGAATGGGCGGGAAACAAGCAAAGCTCGGCAAGTCGAACAGTGAGACTAAAGCCGAGTCATTAATTACCCGATCAGTGAATGCTATGAAACTCGCAGCTTCCCTCGCGATCAATGGGCCTGGTGATTAATGTTGGCATCGTCCATTGCAGCGCAGTACAGCCAGATCATTTCCAAGAGTTAGCAAGCATGTTTGGTGCAGGTCTCCAACAGATTCTGCTTGGCCTGCCAGGCCTGTCGTCTTTCCAAGTTGACTCTGTGCAATCCCCTCTTGGAGGCAGCAATGTCAACCCGGGAAGCAACGTTCACGGAGCCGTGGCTTCATCTTCGACTTGTGTGAGTACTCTTTCTTGTATCTCTCTATTACGAGGCATCATACTAACTGTCTCTCAATAGTGCGAAGCTCTGGCTAAATCGATGGGCAATGACGTTGTCGCCTTCCCCAACGGCCCGGCTTATAAGTCCTCTATCGGCTCATACTTCAGCCTCAAAGAAGCCGACCTGAAGCCAGCATGCGTCGTCATGCCCGAGTCAGCCCACGACGTATCGCTCGCGGTCCGCACACTCACGGCCGGTGCCGAAGCATGGAACGGCAAATGTCAATTCGCTATTCGTGGTGGCGGCCACACCCCCTTCAAGGGTGCCGCCAACATGGAGAACGGCATCGTCATTGACCTCAAGAATATCCCCGCTGCCGGCATCTGCGCCGACCACAAGACCATCACCGTGAGTCCCAGCCAAACCTGGGACCAGGTCACGGAGCAGCTCGACCCCTTTGACCTGAGCACCCTCGGCGCCCGCGTCGCGGGTGTAGGTGTGGGCGGCGCTGTCCTTAACTGTGGAACCTCCTTCTTCTCCCCCCGCTACGGCTTCATCTGTGATGTGGTCGAGGAGTTTGAAGTCGTACTTGCAAACGGCGACATTGTCCACGCCAGCGCGAGCCAGCACCCCGATCTCTGGAAGGCCCTCCGCGGCGGAGGTAACAACTTTGGCGTCGTCACCGCAATCACCATGAAAACCTTCCCGCAAGGCAAGTTCTGGGGCGGTCAGACCTTCCACGACATCTCCACGCGAAAGAAACACTTCAAGGCCCACGAGGCCCTCGCCTCGATGCATCCATATGATCCCTACGTGCACTACATCAACAACCTAGTCCTCAGCAATGTCACACGAAGCTGGTTCATTGGCAATAGCCTGCAATACACAAAGAGCGATCCGCCCGTCATCGAACCGGAGGTCTTCAAGCCCCTCCTCGCCATCGAGCAGAAGCCCCTTTTCCCCGGTGGTCCCTCCAACACCATCCGCGTCGACAACGTCACCTCCATTTCGCGCGAGTACGCTGCACTCGCATCCTACCCGAAGCGCTGGATCTTTGCCACCGTCAGCTTTGCGCCCTCCGCTGACATGATGGAGGAGTTCTTCCAGCTCGCCGACGCAGCCTTCACTCCCCTCCTTGACCTCGACGGCTTTGCGGTCGCCATGGCGTACCAGCCTGTTCCCATCGTCATGTCGGAACGCAACGGTGCCGTCGATTCGTTGGGGCCCGTTCAGACGCAGGGAAATCTTGTGTACATCCACTTGGGCATCTCCGTCGACGAGAATGAGAGGGACAGTGACGAGGCCGTGGAGAAGACGGTACAAAAGCTAGTGGAGGATGCTGAGGCGAAGGCCAAGAAGATGGGTTTGCATAGAAGCTATCTTCAAGCGACATACGCTGAGAGCTGGCAAAACCCCATCGAGCACCGGAGTAAGAGCACTCTGGAAGAGCTACTTGCGACAAGCGAGAAGTATGATCCGCACCAGGTCTTTCAGAAGCAGGTTCCGGGTGGATTCAAGTTGCCCAAGGTACCGAGTACCGGAGGTGGTGTCAGGGCCGATCTCAAGTGATGACGACGTGAGGACTACACATTGCTAGTTAAACTTAGAGAACGCGTAAAGTTTCTCATGAACTTCACTTTCCTGGCATTTCGTTACGTTGATCGAGACCAATGGGCATCAAATGTGGAAGAATTCCTACGTGTGTATTTAGCTACTACCTAAATTGAGTTAAATCTAGCGAACTATTACCTTTCTAAATACTGCTCGAGCAACGACTGTTTTGCCGTGATTAGAGTTAAGTCGATTGATGTGTTCATCAGTATGAATTCATGCTGTATCTAGGTGTCTAATATGATTACCTTACTGTTTGACTGTTTCACGTTGGCTGTACTCAGCTTAGTCCTACTCTCAATCATCTCACAAAAGCGTCAAAAATCGCGATGAACTATGAGCACGATCCCAATTCGGTATCGCAAAAGCCCGAAGTATGTCCGGATTCGGATTCGATAACCGAAAGTAAGTATTGCTATCTGTGCTTTCGGATTCCGAAACCCTATGCGAACGATTACTATTCCATGTTCGATTTGGGATAGAGTCAGGATAGAGTTGATGTCAGTTTCCGTCGAGTCTCCCCACTCGGATGTTTGAGAGTAGCGAGCGTATCAAAGTCTTGCTTCCAGCTTCGTGACCGGGAAGTCAACGACAGTTAAGAATAAACGCATTGTCTACTTTTGTCAGGTTTTGGACGATCAGGAAAAAATAGATCGTTGATCGATTAAATTCGCGTCGCGAAGAAGTTACCTTGACCACTTTAAGGCGTACTGCTATCCTTGACAGAAATTCGATGGCCGATGCCGACACGGTCATAACTTGAAATTCAATACCAGAAGCACATGGTGTGAACCTGAGAGTTTCTAGATAGAAGACTAATGTAAAAAGGGAAAACAAATTCTAGACTGTATTTACAGGAAGCTCCGATGCTCTACAAAGGAAAGTTCAAGACTGTTATGTGATCGATCAAGCATCAAATCGGCGATTCTTCCACCGAACGGACGACTTCTACATGCCAACCAAACGCCTTCTGAAAGTAAAGATCCCCTCGCCCTGAACTCCAGGAAGAATAGTATAGTGATGAACGAAAGAATGAAACAAAGTGAATTTAGAGACCCCGTCTGATAGCGTCGACCAATCTGTCTGCGCCGCTACCTCGCATCATGCTGAAGTGATGCTCCCCCTCAATGACCGTAGTCGTAATAGACGCACCGGGGAACAGCAAAGCCCACTCCCCGGGTCCGAAATTTTTCCTCTTCTCAGTGAGGAACTTCATCCCCTCACAATCCTCGCCTTCCATCATGGCAGGCGGCAAAGTCGGGTACCGAACCCCATCAAAAGCGCACTCCCCTGCCCAGATGATATTTACGTGTAACTTTCTGGCCGCCTCGGGCGACATGGCGGGCGCATGATAGTCGTGCAGAAGTTCAGTTGAGGCGCGGAAGTGAGGCATCAGCCACTCGGGCGGTTCAGACTGCTCCGCGCCGCGACGCATCTCGTTGCGGAAGATGCCGACCTTGTTGCAGTGGTCGTAGAATCTGTCAGGCAGGTGATCCAGGCCGTTGTTGGGCGGGGGAGAGTCAATAAGCGTGAGAGAGGTGACTTCCTCGCCGGCGGCAATGAGTTCTTGGGTCACTGCGTAGGCGAGAATACCGCCCGCTGACCAACCTCCGAGACGGTAGGGGCCACGGGATTGCTTCTGACGGAGGCCGGCGATGTAGGACTGTAGAACCTCTCGAAGAGTATGGTCGTACATTCGGCTGGGAGTTCTATAGGGAGACTTGTTAGTATTGAATCAGAGTGGCAGAAATAAGCACGTTATTACTTACTTTGCAAATGGCGAATTGAAGCCAACAAGTGCCGTAGTCGGCGAGATAGTCGGAAGACTCAAGTAGGAAGTGGCTACTCCACAGCCATCCGGGAAAAGGAAAAGAGTCTCCTTGGCTTTCGTGCGGGAACCTTGGAGGTACATTGACCACGCCGGTGGAATTGTAGACACGATAGGAGTCGATGGAACGGCTTTACCCTTGAAGTCTCCAGCGCTTATGTCGATGACCTCAAAATAAGAACCAGGGGTATCAAGCCCATTGATTGGCGTCATGGCAGCGGAGAAAGGCGACGCCAAGTTGTCGAGATCAGGCGAGCCCACCGACGAAGCATTGTCAGATTCAACGCTTGTGATGTCGCTCTCATGCCCAGAAGACTCTGTCGACGACATCGCGGTGCCAGAAACACGCATCCTAATGTCGCCAACAGTGAGACACTCCTCAAATAGTGCCCGTTCTGGAAGATCAACGTCAAGCTCGTCGCGCAGTCTGCCGCAAATCACAAGTGACAAGAGCGAGTCGATACCAATGTCAGCGAGGGCGACATCGTCGGCCAGCTCCTTCTCATCAAGACCACTCTCTTCAGCCAAGACTTTGAGAGCCACAGGCCAGGAGTCTTCTGCAGCTTGTTGCGCAGTGGGAGCAGCTTGAGTCTCGGCCAGAGAAATGTCTCCAAAGGTTGCCTTCATGTCCGAAGTGACGATTGCCTGGGGCTGTAGTGGTTGCGTTTGAGACTTTGCCGATGAGAAGCCACCCGAGACCTTCTTCATGGCCGAATTGATGATGTAGTCCATAAGGCGCTTGGGGACTCCTTGTAACGCAACCCCACCAAGGATACCGATGAGGTTCTGATTCTGATCGAAGATGATAACATCTCCAGACCACAGTTTGTCCTTGCCCTCAGTCATCTTCACATATGAGTGGTAGGTCATGTTCGCATCGAGCTTAGGAGTGAAGAGCTTCATCGACTCCCACCCATGATTGACAAAAAGCTCCTTGTCAAGATCGACAGACTCATTGGCGTTCATAACAAAGCCAGCTAATTGAGAGATGGAGTCCAGGAAAGCGGGATTGGAGAACCACTTTCCATTGTCAGGGATGCCCTTGAATGACACAGTACCTGCAGCTTCGTAGGTGTTGTTGCTGAGAGTGATGGCAGACAGGCCGCGATACTTGGGGTCGAAATCGGCAAGCTGGCCAACCATCTTGTAGATCATCGATTTGCTGAACCGGAAAGTGCTCTCATCTCCTCCGACCTGCGCCTGGATGGCCTTCATGCGAATCTTTGCATCCGAAACAGCCTGAGCGAACTGAGACTTGGTCTCATCGATTTCGGTGAAGCGGATTGAACAGTTGGCATGCTGCTCCATGGTTTTGTCGTTGCCGTCGAGGGTAGAGAATGTACAGAAGAGAGACTTCTTCGCCGCATCAAACTTTGCCTCGGTGCGAAGGACTTGCTTGAGTCCGACATCATTGGCGACGAGAGCACTCTGGATGTGCATCTCTGCCACCTCGGTTCCGACTGCGTCGACGTCCATGCCTGTGATTTGCTTGACATACTTGCCAATCATCTGAGCAATGTCTGCATAGACGGAAGGAGTGCATAGAGGTACACCGTAGACCTTGTGACCTTGAGCCATGGAATGAACATCGTCAGCGTTGAGGTCGAGATCGACGACCACCTCGCCGTCAGAGCTTGACTGAAGAGTGTTCTTGACTACGTTGTAAATCGACGAGAAGGCCAAGTTGGCAGGCCCCATGATAATGGGAGCATCACCTTTGCGGAGACTCCAGTCATTGGTGTACTGCATCCAGTACTCCTTGAGAGTCCATCCGTAGGAGGGCAGTTGAAGAACCTGCTGGCACTCTGGGAAGTCGGCATGGTATCTAGACCATTCGACGTTGGCCCCAGCCGCATACATGCCGGAGAAGGCATCGGTCATCAGTTGCCAGGTATCAATAGTCTTGTGTGCAGATGCGAACGTCTGCATCGTAGATCCAACGACTTCCTGAACCATAGGAGCAACAACAGGCGCGGGACCAATCTCAATGGCGATAGTGCGCTCATCCAAGATGCCTTCTGCCTTGGCGACAGATGCGGCCTGCATGATGTTGACCGGCTTTCTGCAATGCTCAACAAAGTAGTCCTCGCCGAAATCAGTGGCCTCGCGAAGCACCTTGCTCAGAGTAGGCGAGATAACTGGGATCGTAGGGCGACGAATGTGAATACCCTTTGCAATCTTCCGGAACTGAGCAAGGATAGGGTCAACCTGAGAGGTGTGGAAAGCGTGTGCAGTGTCGAGAACATGGCAGCGCATGCCCTTCGACTCGAGAATGGTCCGGGCTTCCTTGACATGCGCAATGGTTCCGCCGAGAACGATGTTGTGCTTCCTGTTGCGGCACGAGACCTCGAGGTCGCGACCGACAACACCAGGAATAGCAGCGAGGACTGTAGCCTCTTCAGCCATAACGACGAGCATGGCGTGCGTTCCCTGGGCTAAGTGCTCCTCCATCAGCTGAGATCGCTTTCCTACCAAGTAGAGGACGTCGGCTTGAGAAAGAGCACCCGCGGCATAAAGAGCGGCGTACTCTCCAAGACTGTGACCGACGACTGCCTTGGGGGTGATGCCAAAGGACTCCCAGAGCTTGCAAAGAGCCATCTGGAAAGAGACGTGCGCCAACTGGAGGGCAGTAAGCGAAGCACGGCTAAAATAGTCCCGCTCCTCAAATAGAGGAAGAATCGACGGCAGGCCCATCTGGACGCACAAGTGGTTGTAGCGCTGCAAGTTGTTCTTGAATGAAGCGAACCGGGCGTACAAGTCCGCACCCATACCAGCGTGTGGTGAGCCTTGGCCTGTGAAAGTAAATACGAAGCCGGGTTTTTTGGCCGGGGCAGGCAGAATCTTCTCTCCTCCGCTACGGGCATCGAGCTCTTTCTGCAGCGACGACTTGAGTTGGGGAATACTAGTAGCAGTCACAGCAACTCTGTACCGATGGTGCATACGGCGGGCGGTGGTTGTATAAGAGAGCTTTGCGAGGAGATTGGGGTCTTCACGCGGTGCCGCACCATCGAGCCATTGAAGAAGGTTGCCTAGATTAGAGACTAAGGATTCGCCCGTCTTAGCGGAGAGCGTCACGACGTGATGGCGTCTCGGGTCGGGGCCGGTGTAATTGTTGAAGACAGGAGCGTCT